AGGCTGCAAAGACCCTTGGCTTTGTTGTAGGTGGCTTCATACTCTGCTGGATGCCTTTATTTGTCAATTCCACACTCAACCCCTATACTGACTTTGCAACTCCTCCTGTTCTTTATGAAGGGTTTGTCTGGCTGGGTTATTTTAATTCTGCGTTAAATCCTATAATCTATGGACTGTTTTACCCGTGGTTTCAAAAGTCATTGAAGCTCATTCTATCTTTAAAGATTTTTTCAACACATTCCTCAGATACAAATGTTTTTTCTGAAAGCTGATTATTCATAAATTCACCACATATTTCAGTATCATATAACATACATACATACTGTACTTACATTCAAGTTTAAAAATAGCAGAAATATCTGTTTGTTTCTTTCAGCTCTTTTCATTTGTTTTCGGTAACATTACATAATAAAGTGAAAAGAGTGTTATCTTGCACCTTAGCAATAATTTTCAGTTACACCTGCACTCTGAATTGTACTTAATGATTTATATCACTGTCAGTTACAGCCAATTAAGCGAGGAAACGCTTCAAACATCTAGCGCTGCAAGTGTGAGACAAGAGGTCTACCCAGAACGAGAGCGTGTGAATGACTGTCTAAATCATTTTTGGGAAAGTATTGGATGTTTTGAAGTATACATTTATACTTAAATGTAGCAATACTGTTAAAATTATTTCAACATCTTTATTCAGTTATTTTATTCAGAAATATTTTTTGAATTTCATACTTAGATTAAAAAACTACCCCTTGTAAAATGCACTTCAAATAATGCAATTAATAACATTAGTTCAAACATCTCATACACATAAGAGTCTCTGCAGGGTGGCAGGACTTTTTAACTTGATAAGAAATTCTGAAATCAAACCAGTGTCATATTTTCACAAATGTGTCGCCATGATTTTTGCATTGGTTGTCATTCCTGATGAGTTCTAAATAAATACCCAAAGTCAGAATCCCTACAAATCACCAAAGGGCTTTTTTGTCATCCTCATGTGACTGCCCCGGTTAACCCGGATCTGTCTCTGTCTGTCTCTGTTCGTCCTCAGGAGCTCCTGCGGAGCCCTTGCTCAGCCCAGCCCAGTAAAGCCCATTACAGCGGCCCTCTTTGCCCTGCCTCCCGTCTCTCACTCCCTGTCCACCCTCCAATGTCCCATAGTGTCCTTTCTGGCCCCACACTTGCAAGAACCCTTACTCCTCAATTTGCTCCATTGCCTTCCCACCAAGTCCCGTTCATGCCTCAGTCTGTTGGTTCCCTTAACCAACCTTGGTCTTTATCTAAGTTCCCTGGTTGTGTCCCTGTTGGATGTCATCCTGTTATGCATCCTGTCTCCAGTTCCCCCAGTCTAGTTGCATTGACCAGACTCATGTCTGTTCTAGTGCACCTTTTGTTGAATGCCTTTCTCCAGTCTGTCCTGTCCCTAGGTTTCCTTGCCTCCCACATATAGCTCTGTGATGTCCCTGGTCATTGGTATTGTTCCTGGTCTGTGGTCCTGGCAGTACCTTCTTGTGTGCCCATTGTCCATGCATTGGATGGGAGGGTACTGTATCAGGTTCTGTCCTCTTCTATATGTTAGTTCTCCATTTGGCAAGCTAGTGATGCTGGCCATCCCATTTTCTTTAGTTCCTCATGTGTTCGGCTGCTTCTAAGGCTGTTTCGTGGCTTAATGGGCATAGCAGGTGGTTTATAATCAAGTTCCCCTATTGTCATGAGTACAAGGCTGGCCTCAGCCACGTTAGTTATTTTGCATCTATGGTTCTTTGTACATCCTGTCTTGGGGTATTTGTTGGTTCCTTGTTTTAGTTCCTTGTTTTTAGTGATGTTCAGTGGCCCTTGTTGTTCTAGTCTCCCAGGTCTTTGATCCTTTGTCTGTTGATTGGCCACATCTGTGCTTCGGGATTCCTTGCTCCTATTGTAATTAGTAAGTAGTAATTAGTAAGTACCCACACCTGTCTCTGTCTCCCTTTCCTCTATCATGTGTATTTAGGTTCCTGCCCTTATTCTGTTCCCCAGTTAGTCATTGTGATTGTTCTTACTCTCTTTGTTTCTGTGATGCTCCCTGCTTGAATCCTGTATGTCTTCATGTCAGTGTTTCTCTAAGCATGTACAATGTTAGTTTCCCTTATTTCCCTGTTTACTTGTAGTCTAGTTAGTTACTGTTCTGTTTTTACCAGCTCTGGTTTGATCCCCAGTGCTTCCTTTTGTTTTCTGTGTGTGTGTGGGGGGGGGTCATGTATTCATGTATATATTATATTGCCTGGTTTCAATGTCCCCACAATATGATAAAAAAAGCCTGTTATTTTCACATGGTGGAGACCATTTGTACGGAAACTCAATTTTATAAAAATCAGTGACTGCAATCAAAAAATTAAAAATATCAGAAGTCTTGTATTTTGTTTTGTTATTTACAGTTAAGGTTAGGGTTGGGTAGGGGTTAAGGTTGTCTTTGTTAAATTAGGGTTTTTCCTATAGAAATTAATCCCCACAGTCCCCACAAACATGTGTGTGTGTATATATGTGTGTATATATGTATACATATTAAAATAAAACAAACCCCCTGCTAAGTGAGAGCAGCTTTAAGGATCGTCCGTTTGTGCTTTCACCATGCCAGCCCATAATAGTCACCATGCCAGCCCATAATAGTCACCATGCCAGCCCATAATAGATGCGTGAAGAGCAGGCAATAATAA